CAGCTGTCTTGGCGTTTCGACTTGGTGCTTCTACAGAGGTAACCTAGTCTCTGTATCTAGCGTTTGGATTTGGTGCCACAGTAGGCGAAGACTGTCTCGGCGTTTCGTACTTATTTTGCTATTACAGACCAGAAAACTGTTATAGCGTTTTTGAATTTTGTGCCACAGTAGGCAAAGACTGTCCTGGCGGTTGGATATGGTGCCACAGCGGGATCAGGCTGTCTCGGCGTTTGGATATAGGATTTTTGATTTTTGTTGTTTTATTTGGTGTTTTTAATCGTTTTTGGTTTCGTTTGGTAGTCTCCCTATTAGTCATCGGGGCGGTCTGTGCGTTCTCGAAGATTTTCGCATTTCGAACACGTCGCAAGAATACCGACAATACCCCCTCTAGCACCTCAACGAGAGGGCTGCACACATTAGAGGTGGCGTAAATTGGTTTCTCGCGACTTGTTACCCCTATATCTGATAGAAAATTGACGAGTTTTGATGAAAGATTTCTGCTTAAAAGTTGGTGTGTGACAAGGGGGGTATACCTAGACTGTTCCCAGTACAACTACTACCCTAGACATTATAGAATAAAGCTATGGTTTTACCAATCTACATTCCTCATCTAACTCTGTATCTATTACATGTACGCTGGATTAACTACTACAATACCCTTTCTCTCTCTCTCTCTCTCTCTGATTTCCTTTCCAAACCCCCACTACGCACTGCCTTATGTAAAACCTCCCCACCAACCCACTCTCTTAGCTACTTACCCGCCCACCCATCTACTCAACCAACCAACCAACTCCCCCAGCAATCAACATGAAACCTGCTCCCCCCTCATCTTACCACGTTTCCTTCGCCCCGCACTTGTATATCTTGGCTTTGTTTCTCCCTCTGTTTGACATTAAGCACAAACCTACTAACAGCAGCGAGGGTGAGGCTGTCTATCTGAGATGTGCGGCGGCATGAGATGAGATGAGATGAGATGAGATGAGACGGGGTAGAGGGGTGGAGTGCAGTGCAGTCGGGAGGGATACAAGTGGGGTAAGATGACAAGTCTCTGTGCAAGGGGGGGGGGGGGGTTTGGGTAACCTAGTTGTTTGACGTGGGATATTGTATACAAAAGATGTGTGTGTGTACATGGGTGCATAAGTAAGCGTTGTGTGTGATTTTGTGTGTAAGTAGTCTGGGGATTTTACTTATGTGTGGAGAAAGTAATATCCCCCCCCCCTGCCTTCCTCTCTCTCTCTCTCTCTGTCTATCTCTTACTATGTAATCATATACCACAAGCTTTGTATCCATCGTCCTGGGTATACAAATCGACACTGGGAGAATGGGCCACTGCTTCATGTGGATTGAATTGGAAATTGGACTTGTATACCCCCATCTTCTTCCCGTCCTTGGCATTGAGTACCTTTAGGCATGTGTGAAAATCAGGATTCCAAAACTACATACTTGAACCTCGACGATTGCGCTTTTGTGGCGAAACGACTGCTTGTTCGGTGTGTATATTGTACCGTCACGTATTTTGTAGGGCTAGCAAATGTTCTCATATACAAGGCTGACTGCGGTGCACTTGACATGCTGGAAACGAGATGCGGCATGTATGCGTTTACGCGAGTTTAGCAGTGCATGTAACTGCGTCGGTGTCATTCTGCAGAGAACGTGAGTAGCCATGTGACAAAAAACCCTGGCTTTCTGTTTCTTCCAAGTGCTGCGAGACTATTGGTGCTAAGTATGTTTAGTAGCTGCACCATTACAATCATGTCAGTGTTTGTGGTCGTGTTCGCGTCATGTACATGTTATCCCTGTTATTAACCCAGGTTTGACATAAAACGCGCACTTGCCGTTACTGGGATATCGCTGTAAATAATATATATGCTATATCTTTCCTCGGGCAAGTCTAGAACGCGGGTCTTGGGGTTTTAGCGTATTGTGTTGATTGACAGTATGATGTCGTTTTGTTCTGTCTTTCTTTGTGATACGGACGGTGGCGATGGCGGTTAGTGTGCTTCTCGCGTGGTGGGGATGGGGGGTTAGCGTGGTTCTGAGGATTAGGTGCGTAGGTTTGGGAGGGGATTTATGTTTTTTTTTTGAGTAAGTAATGATATGAGGGGGGGGGTTTTGAACTAGGGTTTTCTTGGTTTGTTCGGTTTTATCTGGAGCTATTTTACAACTTGTTACATCACATCGCCTCACCATTCAGACTATAACGCCTTACCACCATCTAATCTTGACCAAGGACCACTACGCAATACCGCTCATGCTAGCCAGATTCAGTCAAGAAACCCTATGACCAGACTCTATAATCAGGGCTAGTCCTAAAAACGCAACAGTACGACTAAGTAGACTACGCATATTCAATTCTATATTCAAATTGAACCTATGAGATACCTCCAGGCCCAGAACTCCTCACGCTTGAATTCTAGTTATACACACTCATCCCGCTCGTAGTATCAAGTATTGGGCGGCGTAACTAACACGCCTTTTCCGCGCACACATTATAGCACACCGACTTAGTTGAATACTAAAAATGTAAATACACCGTGAAATGGGAAGAAATAGCGTAGTGCGTAAATACTGTCTTTAATGTCTTTTTTTTGTCGTGTATTGAAGAGGGGATGAAGTGATTCTACAAAGTGTATATGTAGGAATGTTAGTGTGTATGTATGTATGTATGTATGTATGTATATATGTATGTAGTCTAGATTCCAGAACTCCCAGGGAGAAGAATCACGAATATCCAAGTAGCAGCAGACTAGGTCAAAGTATGGAATCAAGTACATAACAAAGCGGTAATACACTATACAGACGTCGCGATACACTTACATTAGCGTATATCCTTCTCCGTGATTTCTAATACGCAACATAGTGCTGAGATGGCGAGTATCATACAGTAGAGAGTTATTATCTGATAAACTGGCTAGACAGAACATACAAGTGAGAGGTATCTAGTGTTGTGAAAACAGCATGTGATGCGCCTCGCTGTATCTTGATAGAGAAAGTACATACAATACAATACAAGTGGACTAGCGAGATAAATAAAAAAAAAACCATACCAGACTACGATTATTCAACCAAGACAACACAGGGCCATGTCAACAGTCTGTTATCCTAGGATCCAAATGCCCGTACGAATTGATTCGCATTGTAAGGCATTGCAAGGCTAGGATGTCAAGGTGGGCAGTACAAGGACGAGAACAAAGAGATTTGAGACCGGGGCAAAAAAGGTGGTGGTGGTGGTGGTGGTGGTGCAGAAAGCTAGGTAAAGGACAAGTGGAGAACAACTATTACTTACCTACTTTGGATTGAGAGATGATATGTAGTGATCAGCAAAAGACTTCACACTGCATCACAGGGGGGGGGTGCTGAGTCTGAGTCTGAGTCTGACTCGACCAGTGTTCAAACTGCGTCATTGTCATCCGAAAAGTCAGCACGGCTACGTAAACATACATGTAGTGTACACAGCTGTGCAGGACCACGGACAAAGTGGCTCGCGGCAATCCCTTGCAAGCGCAAACCCGTCGGGGTGGAACGGGAATGCAGGCTGACAATGGAAAACTCGCAGCTCCTATTCCCAGCCAACACACAGGGTTATGTCATATCTGAGGAGGGTTGCCGGGCTCCCACCCGCAGGCGAGCCAACTATGTCATATGGGAGCGCTACCACTACAGGCATTGTGGAGGCTGCAGCGGGGCGGATAACTCGCTTGATGACGAGCGGCTGCTAGGAGCTTCAGAAGCGGACAGGTTCATGTCGATCGCTTTGGATAATGGGTTATTTCGAGACGATTTCTTTTTTTTTTTGCTTTGTCACTCCATACGCAGCTGTAAGCAGCATGACATCACTTTCAGAGAAGAAGGGGGTGGTCAGAGTATTGAAACAACCACAACAGGCCTCCAACTTGTTGACGGGCGATCATGGTTCGCGGCGGACATGTCATGGCGGGCTGGTCGTCGCAGCAGCCTCGCGTGCCAAAGGCATGTTGCGTCAGTTGGTGTGCGACTCAGGCAACGTCAGAAGCGCAGACGAAACACGATGCCGTGCCGAGGTGGATGCCGATACGGTCGGCTTGTATGCCGCGTTGACGCATGTCGCTTCTTGCAAGGAGGTCTGGCACTCATCGGTGACGGCGTTGGACCCCACGAGCAGCATCATAACGCACAATCACCACAAACACCCACAGGCGTACCCCTTGCAGCACGATGAGTGAATAGCGCGCAGAAGGACGGGTGTGCTGACGGTAGGCGTCCCGGGCTGGGAAAGGGAGGACGTGGAGTGACCAAACTGGCCCATGTTGGAAGAGGATCAGCGTTTTGGTATGACGTGCAAGTGGCACCGGGCGGGAATGTGGCGGTCGCGAGAATTGGCAGGAGAGCTTGGCGCGAGCGTGGTCGACTTTTGGATAAAGGAGCTGATGGGAAAGTGAGGAAGTAATGGGCAAAAGGGCAGTGATGGGAAACGTGGAATTGCAGTGGGAGTGGGTAGGGTCGGTCTAGACGCGTGGTAGCGGCATCGAGAATTGCTAAAGGGATCGGGACGTGTATGTGCCAGCTATTCCCAGAGATGGTTTTTCGAATCGAAGCCGTGCATGCGCGTGTGGGCTTTAGTTTGACGACAAGCGGTTCGCTACGGGGATCTGCTACCACGTTTAATGTGAGGCCGTTGTTGAGATGTATGTGTGTGCATGTGTGCATGGGGTAGTGGGTGCAGGAGGGATGATGGCAGTCGGTTGTGAGCGATGTTTGCACTCACCCTGGCGCACATTCTACAGAGGTTTAGGCTGTGTGGAGTTTGTTGGGAGGCAGAAGTCGAGAGACATGGAGGTCATAGGTGTAGGTGGTCGTCTAGACTGGAGTAGCAGAGGCTGTCATGGCGGTACCTGCGTGGCCCATGGCGAATGTGAATGCAAGGAGTCGAAGCAGACCCTGCATGAGGAGGTAAGAGGCTTGAGGCTAAAGTGAATCAGATAGGCGGGCAAACGTCAGAAGTGACGGTATGGGAGGCAGTAGTGGTAGTGGTAGATGGCACGCAGAGCGGCAACGGTGGGGGAGAGGGGTGAAGGCAAAGGCAAGGCAACGGCTGTGTGTGTGTGTGTGCGAGACCCTGCATGAGCGGAGGGCGGCGCTAAGCCCGGTTGCACATAGCCGTGCAGGATTCGCAGACGATCTCTGCCTGTCGCGGGCAAGAAAATGACGTTGGTCGGGGGCACACACGGGAGGACAGCAGCTATCCAAGGTGGATTGCCTTTTCCGCCTCGCTGGGTCTCTGTGCGACATGGAGTTTGACGCTGCAGGAGACGGAGGGTCTGACGTCGATGGAGGCCATTCCGCTCCACGAGAGGGACTCCCGGCCGAGGGCCGCATGTTTTCAGGCCAGGCATTGCGTCATGGGCGGCACACGCGCGCGAGGAGGTGTAGGTCAATTGCTATAGAGCCAGAGTCAGCGCGGGCCTGCGGTGAGCTGAGGCTATTGCCAGACGACTAGACTAGGTGTAAATAGATAGATACTGACATGCAATGGGCGAGGGGAGCGCGTGACCCGGTGCGCTCGGCTGGCTGCTCGGTGGTTCTGTAGCAAGGAACTCGAGCCAGAACAGTCGAGCCCTCGCGGCCCTGACGGCCCTGGGATTTGCTGTTGCGACTACTCAATACTGCTAGCAGGCGTGCTGCATACACAAGCAGGACCCCTAGACAACACCCTTGTGGCGTTGCTTCTCCACGAGCCCGTCATTGGCGACATCATAGCCCACGCCTTGATTCCGACGTCGCTGGCCCGGGGCGAGCAGGGGGGCCGCAATCGGCGGCCTCTGGTTGGCCCAGAATGTCGCTTAGATCCAGATAGGAAGGACCCTGTAGATCGCGCTGCTCAGGACCCCCGGGCGGCGTCGTTGCAAAGGTGGTGGTGGTGGATCGTCTTGTCTTGTGCGAGACCCAAAGCCAAGGGCCGATCTTTTGCCATGCGCGGCCACCATGGCCCATCTCGTCCCGTCCGCCCTACCTCCATCTCGTGCAGGCGTTGGGAGACGCCAGAGGCTATATAGCTGGCACCCCGCTTGCTGACCTCTGCACTCTCGACACCAGCAACACGCAGCACATCATCCAGCTTCTGCCTTGGCCTTTCTACCACTCCAACCACCACTTCAGCGTTTGCCACCGTCTCCCACTTTACATCACTCACCACCACCACCATGTCCGCCATGACCGAGTCTCGCCAGCAAGTCTACGTCTCGCAGGGCTTCTCAGAGCCCATGAGCGCCCAGCACAACTTTGCCAACAACTTTGACCTCAACGACCCCGAGCGCGCCATGAGCGATTACCAAAGGTACGCCTCTCTCTCTCTCTCTCTCTCTAGCCGACGCTGCCACGTCCCAGCCGCTAACCGCACCCCAGAATCATGCACGAGCACACCAAGCGCCAGCTCACCACGGCAACCGACTCTGCCCGTCGACGAAGTGGATCATCAGGCGATTCTGTTAGCTCTACCGCCAGCTCATAGCGCGTCACCGCTCGTCCTTTTCGACCCTTTTTCCATTCACGCGTCTGAGACGCACCATAGTCCCATGGCTTTCTGTGCATGGGACATGATCACATAATCGTCTCGTGCTTATTGCATGAGAGGAAGGGCTGGCGTTTTTGGCTTTACACATTAGGCTTTTGCCAATGACATGCACGGAGCGGTGTTGGATGCGATTAGCGAATACCTTGTTCACACGAATCAATCAATTGACAACGGCTCCTCAACAGGACGAGGAGCCTTTTTCCTCATTCATCAACCCATGTTTCTTTCTTTCTCCGTCTCCAGCCGTGTGTGTGTGTGTGTGTGTGTGTGTGTGTGTGTGTGTGGGCTTCTCCCGACTGTGCTTTTGACAAGAAACAAAGGCGAAAAAACATCGAGTGTGTGCGCCATGGCCCATTGCGTGGCAGGCAAAGTGGTCGACCCATTGTGAATGTCGGAGCATAGTCCAGCTCTACACCGGTTTGCCCGTGGCAGCACGCGTGCACACGATAGTCATCCGACCCCTGGCCATGGGTTTCCCGCAGGCCTCCCTACTCGTGCATCCATGATGCCAATACCGTGTAGTCGCAATCGCCTGCAGGGTCTATACAGCGCATGACCACGGCCGAGTTGGGCGTGCAGCCACATGCGGGCTAGCCGGGTGCCAAGGCGCGCAGCTCTGGCCCGTGCGCCCATCCCCCGGCCAGGGTCCACCCAGCAAGACCCTGTTTCCAAAATGCACTAGCATCGTGCATCTCGGTCCCAAAACCTGATAATAAGGCGGGCAGCGGGTGGAAACACCGCCGTGCCGCCGCAGCATGAGAATCAAGGAAAAATCAACATGCAGGTTGTGGGAAATTGCATGTTGGCGCGGGCACGGGCGAGCAAAAGGTGGAGACGGGGTTGCAGCCAGCGAAATGCTTAGGTACGCCTAGGCACGCGCCTTTGTTTTTTTTTTCTGTTGGAGGGGATCCGACACGCATTGCACAGAGACACAGCGAAATTCTCATTGGCAATGGGCTTGCTAGTGCGGCGACTATCGACTGGCCTGGGCTATCCCGCGGTAGTCAGTATCCGTACCGGACACCGCTCCAACTCCAGCAACGCTCCCAGTGCCAGTGCGTGTACAGTAAGGCGGGCGGGCTATCGCGCTTTGCTCCCCCCCATGTCCCATTGCCATGCCATTGCGTGGATTACCGGCCCCCGGCGTATCCGGCCGTGTACAACATCATCATCACTTCCCGTCGACGTGGTAACGGTCGCCGACTTATTTGTTGCTGTCTTGTCTGTTTGTTGGTCTGCCTCGCCCGGCTGTCGGCTTCCGCCCTGCTATTTTCCACTCCAAGTTTTTCTTATCGCAGCTCCAGAGAGCACATACTTATATGTAAACTATCTGCCCCGTTTAACGCAACATGCATGGACAATTCACGCGACCTCCTCACTCACATCTAGACATTGGCTACGGAAGCTCACAGGACTCATCGGCCCAAGAGCGCATCGCACATCCATCGCCCTCGCAGTAAACCAAACCGCCTGCCGAATAAGAGCCTCAATGCTGCCGTTATACTGCAAGCAGCAAGGTACAGACATATATTCGCCCGCTTCACGGCGCAAAGAAACCCCAACAGCGCGTCGCTGGTCCACGAGCCAAGCAACGCACGCGGATTGGTCCGACGCGCACGTGTTTCCCCACCAGTGACATCGTTGACATGCCTTCATCCAAGCCTTCACCAACTCGCTCCAATCGCTCTCGCAACCCTCTGCTTCATCTTTGCGCGTTTTGACTTGTTTCTGCATCATTTGTGCCCCGCCCGTTGCTTGTGTTGCTTGTGTTGCCTGTCTTGTGTTGCATCGCTAGCCTCATGCGTTCCTCGTTTGCTCTGTCCGCAAGCTTTGCGGCGCTTTGCAGCGCGGCAGCTTACGGACCACAGACTCCACTCAAGAACATCCTGGCCAACACCGACAAGAGTGACAAGTACAGATACCCGACCGATTTCACCAGAGACATTGTCCCCAAGCCCTTCCACAGCCACAATGACTACTGGCGCGACGTCCCCTTCTACTCGGGCCTGAGCCGTGGCGCCATCTCCACTGAAGCCGATGTCTGGCTCATCAATGGCACTCTATACGTACGTTTAAGCTCTGCCCAAAACTATACACCCCGCTTACCCTGTCCAGGTTGGCCACGAGCCCGCCGCTCTGACCGAGACGCGCACGCTTGAGTCGCTCTACATCCAGCCGATTCTCGACACGCTGCATCGCCAGAACCCAAGCACTCATTTCGTGCAGCCGGGCGAGCAGAATGGCGTCTTCGACACGTCCAGCGACCAGACGCTCTACTTGTTCATCGACCTGAAGACGGCCGCTGACGTGACCTTTCCCGCCGTCCTCAAGGCCTTGGAGCCTCTGCGAAGCGGAGATTGGCTCACCACCTATGCCGGTTCTAACCTCCGCAGGAACCCGGTTACCGTCATCGGAACCGGAAACACTCATCTTGCCAATGTGCTCGCATCATCCCCTCGCGACGTCTTTTTTGACGCGCCCCTTGCAGAGCTCAATGACCCAAAATACAAAGACTTGAGTGAAAACGAATCGCCAATCGCCTCCACCAACTTTGCTGCGTCCTTTGGCGACGTGCGCAAGCGCGAAATGAACGACACCCAGCTGGATACGCTGAGGAGCCAGCTCAGTGCCGCCCATGCAAAGGGCATCATGGCTAGGTACTGGAACCAGCCCGAATATCCTATTGGAACCAGGAATGCCATTTGGAGAATCCTTTGGGATGAGGGCGTTGACCTGCTGAATGTCGATGACCTGGATGGTGCAGCCGAGTTTTGGCAAGGCGATTAGAGGCTACCCAGGGTTGCAGTGCCCCACCAGATCAACCAATTCGCTATGCTGTAATCACAAACACATGATCAACGAGCCCCGCAAGGCCTCTAGAATAGACCGTTATGCCAATGATGCCGTTGATCGTGCACGTGAACACGCCTCGCTTAGCTGTGCGGCTCTTCCGGTTCCTGCAGAAGCTCATCCCTGCGGCACCCCCGGATTACGTACTCGCCCGTCATTTTCCCACTCCCAGTCCACTCATCTCGGCCCATTGTACTTCAGACTCCATCTCATTTGGTCTTTGGTCATCGCCTCTTCCTCGGCAAACATTCCCATCATCCACACGAGTCCGTTTCACACCCGCATATTTGTATGGGCGAGTGCGCAGCCACGCCAACTGCTATAATTGCTCTTTGTTCAGTTCGCCCGACGAGTGCGCCACAAGCTCTGCCACGTCTGAGAAGCCGCCCAAAAGCATTGCGCGACCTTGCCAACTGTACAAAAGCCTCAGGTACTTGATATATCCACGTGGGTTCTGTAAACGCGCGCGGGGAACTTTGTCACTACGAAAGAGCTTGGAGTCAGGTGGCCTACGTCATAGCCGACATGTTTCCTCCGGCCCAGGGGTTGCGCCTCGACATTGATGCCATCAGTCAAATCTTTGGATCCATCAGCATCGCATGCTGGATAGGTGAGTGCCAATCAGATCCTGTATCACAAGGACCCTGCAGACATGCCCACGTCCTGGTTGCACGCCTTTCGGCAGTCTCGGCTAACGCGTGACAGTCGTGTTTTCGCCCCAAATCATTGAAAACTGGAAGAGGAGCTCCGCAGACGGGCTTTCTGTCGTGTTTATTGTAATATGGCTTCTCGGCGACTTTTTCAACATCATAGGAGCGGTGCTGCAGGGAGTGCTGCCAACCATGATTATCCTGGCTGTCTACTACACGCTCGCAGACATTGTCCTGCTCCTCCAGTGTTTCTGGTACAAGGGCTTCACGCTGCGCGACGACTTCAAGAAACCCATGAACGAATCGGATCAAGACAGCGAGGTCAGTGAGCAATCGCCGCTTCTCGCAGAGTCCAGACCGCAGTCCAACGGTTCTCCTTACACCAACCAAAACGGCAACGGCATCGAGGTACAGCGACCGAGGATCTCAGACTACGAGAGACGCGGGTCAGGCCACTCGCAGGGCTCTTTCCGTGAGCGCTTTCTATCTATCGACGGCACCCATCTTTCGCCCGTCACGCCACTCATTGATGACCCTGCATGTGGATACGGGAACGGCGCGGTTGTGACGAGCCCCCCGCCATCGCAGTCGAATCTCCAAACCATTGTCTTCAACGTTAGCACTGTCATTCTCGTCTGCGCTGCCGGTGTCTTTGGCTGGTATCTTAGCGCGCGCAACTCTACCGCTCCCAACCCACCCGATGAGCACGATCCCTCGTCGGACGCAACGCTGCATTTCAACCTGTGGGGCCAAATCTCTGGCTACGTCTGCGCAGCGTTATACCTCGGCTCGCGCATCCCACAGCTCCTGCTCAACTACCGCCGCAAGTCGACCGAGGGCATCAGCATGCTCTTCTTCCTGTTTGCGTGTCTAGGCAACTTGACATATGTGCTCAGCATCCTAGTCTACAAGCCCAAATGCGGAGGTCTCGCATGTCACGGCGGCCAAGCAAGAGCAGAATACGGCAAGTACATTGCTGTGAACATGAGTTGGTTGCTGGGAAGCTTTGGTACCTTGCTGCTCGACGCTGGCGTGTTTGTACAATACTTCATGTATAGGAAGGATGAAGATGAGAGCAGTGATGAGGAGGAGTAGGTTTGGCCATGTAAATGAAGTCAGATGTGGGGTTGATTTATGAAACTGTACATTAGAAAAGTTTGTATCCAAGCATACTAAAAAGGTTTTACTTGAAGAGGATACACATGATGTTGTCTTGTGCTGCTGCTGCTGCTGCTGCTGGTATCCGGAAAAGCGAGCATGGTTAAAGAAAACAAACCCGTAGTGCATTTCATAAGTACATCAGAGCTTAAGCCATGAACACGTTCCAGCCTGGCAATACAGACCACACATCTGCTATCGAGACTTGCTCTCACCAGAAAGAAACCAGCCAAAATGGCCTCCCGCCCAAGAGAGTACAGGAAAAAAAAAGATGCAACAAAGAGCGACAGATCCATAACCATCATCCCACCATCCAAGTCTTCCTTTCCTCTCTCCCTCACATCCCCATCTACTTGTCCCCCTTCCCCTTCACAGCACCCTTGCCCTTCCTCGCCTCCATGCGCGCAACCTCCTCCTCAACACCCCTCATAATATCGGCATGCAACTCCTTATAAAACCCCAGGCGGAACAAGACCTCATACCAGACGAAAAGCGGGGCCAAAAACAGCGCTTGAGCAAGGTTATCCAGCAACGCGGGCTTCCTACCTTCGTACTTTCCATGGCCCACAAACTGCAGGATCCAGCTGATGGTGTGCAGGGCCACGGCGCCAGCAGTCACTTTGGTCTTGTTGAAGCGCGTGCACAGGTAGTTGGAGGCCGAGGCCAGACCCATGACGAGCGGCGTCGCGGCTACGCCCGCCACGTTGGGCGAGAGCAGCACGTACAGCGTCGAGTAGGTGGCTGCGGCGAGCGTCCCGAGGTTGAGCGGGAGATGCAGTCGCGTGAGGAGCGCGTGCGGTTTTAGCGGGAGGGCAGGCGTGTGGGTTCCCTGGGGCGTGGGTGGGTTAGCGGTGCTAGGAGTGGTGCCCGTGTGGGTAAGTAGGGAGTGGTGAATGGCCGCTTGGGGTAAGAGGAATGCGCAGAATCTGGCAAGAGAGGAAGAGAGAGAGAGACGCACAAAGAGAAATGCGGTGCCTAGAATAAGAGGCACGCAGGTCATGTGGATGGCGACATTGGTCGGGTCGCGGTGGTATGCACCGTACTGTCATTGTAGCCATTAGTTGATACGCTCTGCACCGCCTAACCTGGTTATCAAGGGGGAGGGGGGGATGCGTACAAAGATGAGGTTCTTTCTCAAATCGAAAATGGCCATTTTCTTTTCTGGCTTGCCGCGCGGTTACGTCAAGTCAAGAAATCTTCGTTTTTCTCCCTTCTCTTTTGTTGACGGTTCTCGTACAGTATGTATGTATTTTCACCGATTACCCAATGACTCCGCTTTCCCAAGCTCTTCAAGCAGAAGATATATATATATATTTGCCGCTTTTTACCCCCACTCTTTCTCTCTCTCTCTCTCTCTCTCTCTCTCCTTAATTTAATTACCCACCACTCCAACGGTCCACGCAACAACGAGCCAGGGGGCGCAATGCGGGGAAAGCCACGAGATGTCAGCGCGGATCTGACGGGGGCGAACGCGACGCGACGATGCGGAGGAATGGCAGGATTACAAAACAAGCCAAGCTTGATGATAAGCCAATGCCTTGTGTATGTATGTGTGTGTGTGTGTGTGTGGAGGGGAAGTATATATCTCCACGAAGAGAACTTTACAAAGCAAGACGACGACAGCCTCAAAGCCACTTACTTATCGCGGACAAAAATGGACGTCGCGTGGTGAATGCAAAGTAACAAACGGCAAACAAACAAACAAAACAAAAAGAAAAGAAAGAAAAAAGATCAATACAAAGTCAGCTCAGCCCTCCATTGTATATATATACGTCCGCCAAAGTATACTTAAGCCGTTCCTCGTTTCCCGCTAAACCGTTTTACACACACCCGCACCCGCTACGTACTTATTGTCGCATTTGTCACCCCACCAATGGCCCCCCGAAATCATCGCAACCACTGCCAAACTCGGGGTTGGCGCTCCCCCCCCCCCTCAGTTGCCAGCGGACGCGTGCGGCGCCCGAGGCCGAGCTGGACACAACGCATTTCTGATTCTGTTTCTGACTTGCATGCGCGCCGCGGGACAAGGCGGATATAGCACCAATGGGGTGGGGGGTGTGTGGAGATGCCGAGGCAATTACTTATTATTATTATTATTATTATTATTATTGTAGTTTAACGTCCTTTCTCAGCCCAAAGGGCTATATAAGACGTGCAGGCTTAAGGCCTGCAAGTAACTACGTAGGCTAGAATTTAATCTAGGTACAAATTGAGTAGGTACAATGTAGGGGGTTATCTAAATGAAGGTGAGGCTCGTAGCCTAGTAGTTTTTTAGTGAGTAACTCTCTCAGATCTTTCACTTTAAATGAGTCTTCCTCTCAAGTTTTAACGAGTAACTCTCTCAGTCGAATAGGTAGTTTAATGAGTAACTCTCTCATGTGGGTGGACCATAAATATGGTTGTGAGGGGAGAAGGATTCGAACCTTCGATCTTTGCTGACGTGAGACAGCAGAAAATTTTCCAGGCGCTCCACCACTGCGCCATCCCCCGGAGGCAAT